TAAGAACTTGAACAATAACCATAGGAAAAAATATATAAATCTAGCTATAATAATAGTGGAGAATCTCACACACAAATGCCTTTTTAGATCTCTTGGACTTCTATAAAATATTTCTATCAAGTTTTCTACAATCTATCCTTTCCAACCTCTTAAAAAAATCTTGAAAAAGTTTTGCTCTCTTCATCTTAAAAGAAACATGATTTATATAATAGTAATATTTATAAGCAAGATAAAAAAGAAAATGTTTTATTCACTTCATCTTATTGCGTCCTGCCATGTTGGTCAAATTTATTTACTTTTCCAAGTAGCTTAAACAATTTAAGTTCTTAACATGTTAAGCGAAATGTTTGAAGGCAATGATACAAAGAAGAAATCAATTTTTATTTTTGTTATTTATAAGCAAACTTTTTATAAATATGGTGCATAAAAGGAAAGTGAAATGCCCATACCCATTTTAGTTTATATAATGCTTTTTGGTATCACTATGGATCTTCTTATTGAGTCATTGGGCCTCCATTGATATTTGATGACCCTAACCTATTCTTGATTATTCAGTAGTAAACATTATCTAGCCTCATTTATTGCATGTCATTTAAGTTTGGTTTTCTCAAACTATCATCTTTAATCCATCTCTTTCCCACCATTGCCATAAATGGAAATATAGTGCCCTCAAATTTTTACATGTGACTTTATTTGTTTCCTCTAAGGAAATTCCATGAAGACTCTCCAACAAAAACACCATTGTGTAGAGAAAGTCATTTTTTCATTGTACAAAGATAACAAAGTCATGTTATCTTTATATTAATGCCTCCCTCTCGCCATAACCCAATTGTTTGACCTCTCTAATGACTCTTCCATTGCCTTCCATAGATCACGAAAATAATAGCTCTCAGCCTATAAAACTACCATCAGTGCCATTATTAATATTTATAAGTCCACCAATACTACGGTAATATCACCTCCTTTATGAACAATTTACTAATCTTTTTCATGCTCCTCAGAAGTGGCCTCCTCAAAATTGATTTAGTTTTTGTGAGGTAAGTAGATCATTAGTGACTTGTTCATCAAAGATGGCATTGCCATCAATGTTGATGATTACTTTTATTACTAAAATCAATGCCTGACATCACTACTAACTCTAATAAAGGTTATTTATATCTAGGTTGACACTTGCCATCACTACTAATGTACACTAAAGATGATGCTACAATCAAAACTTTCTTTCTTGCTAAGGTTGATGCTTGCTTTCCTAGTTATCAATTACTCTTATGAAGAGAATGAATCATCATATCATTAGTGAGACATTGACAATTATTTTGATGCCTTATAGCTCCTTCTACTTACACTCTAGAATCCATCTTCTATAGCTCATGTATTTAGCTTTCTATTAATGACTTCTAAAATTTTAGGATAGTTTATCCTTTATAATATTTGGCTATGCTAGTAAAGCCACTTTAATAATGATGGACCCCATAGCATTTAATTTTCTTGAGCTTTTCATAAAAAAAAAAAAACTAATGTCTTTTATAAGTTTCTTTTATTATATCCATGTGTGTAGTTGATATTTTTATTCAGTACTAATGTGATAAACTCTACATTTCTTTAAAACTACATATTTTCCATCTTATAATAATTTTTCATCGCTTATGAGAATAAAAAATATCCTAGATACTATTACAATGTAGAAAATACTATTCTTCTTTCATTCATTGATGCATTAGTTCCTTGAGAAGCAAGATGAGGTTGTAGGGGAAGCAATGGTTGTATCCTTCAAAGTACATTCATATTTATGTTAGTATAGCCATAAGGTGGTGATTTTCCAAGGTTATTACGTGATATATGAATTTTCTACAATGATATGTAAGTTATCAAGGTGTTAGTGGAGGAGTAGAGGAGATATAGCCTAATAATAATGATCAACCAACCTTAACAAGTGCTCAAACTTCATAGTGTGTAAATGGGATTTAAAAATTTTGTAATAAACTTAGAGGTTTAATCAATGAATTTAAAATATATAATTAGTTATAAGAATGTTTGAAGCATTATTTTAGAGTTGGTTGTGATATTCTATTAAGACTCGAGCATTAATTGACAAAAATGGCCTAGTTCTTTCTGAAGAACTTTCAGTTTCATGAAATATTCACTCACCAAGGTTTATTTTTTTGCAATCAATCATTTCCAAACCTCAAGTGAAATTTTTTTTGGACCATTACTTTGGCAAAATAGATCTTGAAGAACCACCTAGATCTCACTTGCTATTATACTTATATCTATCTCCTTAGAAACTGAATTCAAGATCTAGGAGATAATTATATAATTATTACTATTCAAAGAATTAAGGCGTGTATTAGTAACGTCTAATAGTTTAGGGTTGATGAACCCCGGCTTATTTGTTTTCCAACAATTATGTTAGTATAGCAATAAGGTGGTGATTTTCTAAGGTTATTACGTGATATATGAGTTTTTTTACAATGATATGTAAGTTATCAAGGTGTTAGTGGAGGAGTAGAGGAGATATAGCCTAATAATAATGATCAACCAACCTTAACAAGTGCTCAAACTTAAAGCATGTACATGGGGTTTAAAAATTTTGTAATAAACTTAGAGGTTTAATCAATGAATTTAAATATATAATTAGTTATAAGAATGTTTGAAGCATTATTTTAGAGTTGGTTGTGATATTCTATTAAGACTCGAGCATTAATTGACAAAAATGGCCTAGTTCTTTCTGAAGAACTTTCAGTTTCATGAAATATTCACTCACCAAGGTTTATTTTTTTGCAATCAATCATTTCCAAACCTCAAGTGAAATTTTTTTTGGACCATTACTTTGGCAAAATAGATCTTGAAGAACCACCTAGATCTCACTTGCTATTATACTTGTATCTATCTCCTTAGAAACTGAATTCAAGATCTAGGAGATAATTATATAATTATTACTATTCAAAGAATTAAGGCGTGTATTAGTAACGTCTAATAGTTTAGGGTTGATGAACCCCGGCTTATTTGTTTTCCAACAAAGTGACATGGTCATACTCCACTTATTGTAATTGTCATCGGCAAGGTTTTGCGAAATAAGAGATACGCCAGAATTATGAGTGTTATGAAGGAAAAAAGGACTATAACAAATTGTTGGGGTTCATAATGATGGAAACACAAAGATAGAGCCATAGTAGTGAAGGTTTTGATACCATTTCATGGTGGCTCGAGCATTTCAAAGGAAATAGGAGCCTAAGAAAAAAAAAAAAGTTCTCATTTTACATTTGTTTCTTTATAAAATATTTACAAGTTTTTAAAATCCATGAATGCTAAACTGAATATAATAAATCTATAAATCTACCTCAAGATATACAAATAGAAAAAAAAATCATGTGTTGTACTAATATCCACAAATAAAATTAGATTCAACAAGCTCAATGTTTACGACCAATTAAAGGCTGATTCTCATGAGGCTTGGCAAGATTCGAGGTCATATGAGGCTTTAGTGACTTTAGATTTGATGGGTTTCTTTTCCCAATTGAAGGGTTTTCAAGCCTATTCATAATCATCGAGTTGTTGAGTATGGTTCAAGCTCTCACAATAACTTGATAAAAAATATATAGCAACTAGATCATGTAGATAAAAAAATATATCGCGACTCATGTGTGAAATATTTGGCATGTATTCATCCTAATCCTCAACAATATTCCAATTGTGCTTTCTATTTGTTTCTCAATACAACCATCTTTAAGTGGCTTTCTAATCATTAAAATAAAACCATCTGTAATAATCTTCTTAACATTTGGCATTTTTTAATTGTCCTTTCTAATAAGTCTCTCAATAGATGAGAACACCATACATTATCACCTCCTCGCAATTTAGAGTCCTACGCCATCATATCATACAAAAAGACCTTGTCGTTAAATTCTATTTTATTTAAATTGTTGAAGGCATGCATTCATACAAAAATTAGTAGGAAGAGATAGTTGTAATGCACACAAGTTTCTTTCTCTAAAAAAATGCGTGCTGAATGTAAGATTAAAAATCATATTTGATTTGTAAAAGGACAAATGATGTTTTTCATTTCACAGGTAACCAAATATTTGAATCATTATGGACATATTTTATACATTCCTACCTAGTCAAAAATTGTTTTTAGTAATGTTTAGCAATTAATGTACATTGCATATTTTTTAAAATGTTTTAGGCTATGTTTGGGACGGCTTTCTTACTATTTTTTAAAATATTTTTTTTAGTTTAATAGAATTTTGAATTAAGAAGTTGTTTTAGAAAGCAATAAAAAAGTCTTCTCAAACGAGAGAAATTATTCTGTGCGAAGATCAGACGACGAGAACCGTCTGGATTTGTTGTCATTTTGCTGTAATTTTGTAAATATTCAACAAAAGGGTAGTAAATATGTAAATTATGAATGCACTTTTGCTACCCTTTTGTTGAGTATTTACAAAAACACAGTAAAAAAGCAGCTAAAGCGCACAAAATATTCTACTAATGTATATTTTCTGTATTTTTGCAAATGCGTAATAAAAGTACAGCTAAAGCGCAACTAATCCGGGCGATTCCTACGGTCCGGCCTCGGCACAAAATAATTTCTCCTCAAACAAATCCTTAGATGACAATTTAAAGAGTTTGATCCTTTCTTTTATGATTAACAAATCAATGTAGAGATAACTTTCTTTCATCCTTTTGTGTTTGAGCTTAGTCCAATCATTAACGTTACATAAAAAACATACCTAACAATAAAAAATTCATATTCAATAAAAAGATTAATATGATTGACCAGCTCAATTCCCATCGCTCTGCCAATCCAAAAAGATCCGGCAAAATTATCATGCTTTTTTTTTTTTGAATAAAACAAAATAATCATCCACCACGGACCCGAGCCCGGCCGGCCGTTAGAGCTGTCAAGCATTTCCCGCCAGCACCGTAGCACAAAGATATATATATATATATATGCTTCATAGCTTATTGTATACTCCAAACCAGGTGAGTAAGCTAATGACCGTTACAAAACATCTTCCAAAAATGCCCTCCCACGCTTTTCATTTCTTCCCATTTCTCTTCTCTGTTCTCCTCGTCATTTCGGTCACCACCCCCCGTGCCGCCGCCTCCTCCAGATGTGCCGTCGATGATGGAGCGTATTCTACAACCCCTCTAGTCTCCTTCCTCCAACGCCTCCAATCCGAAGCTCTCAAAACTCGCGGCCCCAATTCCTTTGATCCCAAGCTCTACGTTGATCTTCCTCTCAAGGAAGACCTCAACTTAACGGAAGCCGCTTTCTGGAAACTCCCTAGGGTTAATGGAATCATCCCGGCAAACTACTTGCATAGGTTCTTGGAAGACTATTTCGGGGATGCCGGCGAAGATTTGGTGTACACGGAGCCCCAGGATTTCGTGCCGGAGCCGGAGCGGTTTTTGCCCCAAGTGTCTAACCCTAAGGTTAGGGCTTGGGCTCTTGAAGTGCATTCATTATGGAAGAATCTGAGTAGGAGGGTTTCCGATAATGTGAAGAACCACCCGGAGAGGCACACTCTGCTTCCGTTGCCGGAGCCTGTAATCATTCCTGGGTCGAGGTTCAGGGAGGTGTATTATTGGGATTCTTATTGGATTGTCAGGTTTGTTTCTTGTTCGTATAGCTAGATAATTGATTAAACTGAAAAGTTAGTTCAACCTTAAAAATGGGATTTCGGATTGATCTCCATTTGGTTTATATTTGATGTTTTGGTAAAATCAAAAGGTCTGAACACAACTGAATCAAGCTAATGTGTGATGTATATTAAGCTATGTGATTGAACATGATAACGGTTGATCCAAGGTTTATAGCTTATAAATCATTTTTTCCCTTGTACTAATGCATGTAAAATCAAACAAAATTGACCCGAACTAAAAAAACGAACAGATTTATACTGAATTAAATCAATCCAAATGATTATACAGCTTTCCATCCTAAACTGAATTTAATTTCATTTTTAGTCAGTTCACTTTTGGTTTCAATTTTTATTTTTAATATATATGTTCACTTGGTTCCAAATCATGATATGTTTGGAACTAAATCTAACCATGCCTTGGGCACTTGAAGATTTTTCTAATGGTTCTTTTGATGCAAAACAGGGGATTGCTGGTAAGCAAAATGTATGACACAGCAAAAGCAATTGTGAATAACCTTGTATGGCTAGTAGATTCTTATGGTCATGTGCTAAATGGTGCAAGGGTATACTATGCTAATCGCAGGTGAAGTACTAAGAATGGATTCCAGCTTATGTTTCTTTTTTTTTTTTTTACCTAAACCCAAATTTAATGATGGCAATAATGTTATTATAGAAACCATAACTAAAGATTATGTACTGTGATGTCTTACAGCCAACCTCCACTATTGAGTTCCATGGTAATGGAGATCTGCACTAGGACTGGTGATTTGGAATTTGTCAGGAAGTCCCTTCCTGCGTTAATAAAAGAGTATACCTTCTGGAATTCAGGTACCACATTGGATTTTCTTTGCTATAGTTCCTCCCCAAATGTTCTTCACATAAACGGATTCCCTTTAATTTTATGAGCAATGCTTTGGTGTCTATAGTTGGTGAAGCGATTAGTTGTAAAAAAGCATAAGATGTTTGAACTGTATGCTATCTTTATATTGTTCCAGACTATTTCTTATTTTTGTATTTTCTAATATCCAAAGAAATCTATACCACTCTAAATCTTATTATTCATAAAATATGATATTTTAGGAATCCATAAAGTAACAATTCAAGATCTTCATGGACATAAACATTCTTTGAGCCGCTATTATGCCAGGTGGAATAAACCCAGACCAGAAAGCGCAACAATTGTATGCTATGCTCTCTATTTTACTAATCACAATAAGCCTAAAACAGGCTCTATACATTTTCCAAAATGATTATGAAATTGATATTCTTATGTGTAGGATGAGGAGGCAGCTTCCAAGTTTCTTAATGACTCTGATAAGGAAGCTTTCTTTCGAGAAGTTGCTTCAACTGCAGAGACTGGTTGGGACTTCAGCTCTCGTTGGATGAGGTTTCACTGAAAATTTCCATTCCTCAAAACTTCTCAACTAGATTTTGCTCTAGAAAGAATGCCTCATCGTCTTATATGTTATCTACTTAGAATGATTACATATCTTGTATTTTATGTGCCAAAAAAATATTTTTGTATTAATATTATCAAACTCCTATTTGCATAAACAGTTGCTTAAAATCTATAAGTTTCTACATGTTGGAGCTGACTTGCCGCCATTACATCACAGATATTATCTGGGCATTTGCAGCTAAAACTAAAATCCATATTGACATATACTGCTAGAAAGTAGTATTCATGAAATTAGAATCATCCTTTTCATTCAGTTTAGCCCCCTTTAAAATCAAGGTCTTCTTATGCAAGTTATCTTTTCTTTGTCCTCTCTTTAGGAGGACGGTAACTGATAAGTTTTCTATATGGCAAATTTGACATGATTACCGTCTTAACCATCTATAATATTGAAACTAACAGCCCAATGGACTCTATTGCATATTTTCTTTTGTAACCACGATATACTTTTCATTGCAGCAACTCATATGACCAGTCCACATTATCAACAACATCGATCATCCCAGTTGACTTGAACACTTACTTATATAAGGTATTGTCCAAAAAACTCATAGGATATCTGATTATTCTATTTATTTCTAAAATATTGCTGGCATACTTCAAATGTTGTTTTATTGTTTTGCAACCAAAAAACTTTAGGATATGTTTTGTAGGAATAAGCATTAACTACTTTTCATACCTTTTTATATAAATTGCAATGTAAAGTGTCCTATTTTTTACTGATAGTCAACAAGGCCTGCAATGCTTTATCATGCTAAATGTTGGCCATTGAAAGAGAAGCATAATACTAAGTTAAGTGTGGCAGAGATAAGGATGCTCAGGTGGATGAGTGGCTTTACCCTTAGAGATAGGATACGAAATGAGCATTTACGTGAAAAGGTTGGAGTAGCTCCAGTAGAAGATTAGAACAGAGAGAGTCGCCTTAGATGGTTTGGTCACGTAAAACGGCAGCTTTCCGATGACCTAGTTAGGAAAGTAGAGGTATTAGATTTGACTTATGTTAAGAAAGGTAGAGGGAGACCTAAAAAGACTTGGTTAGAAAATATTAGAAATGATATTTCTTTATTAGATTTAAACAAGAATTTGACTTTTAATATGACACAATGAAGAAAAAAGATTCATGTAGCCGACCCCACGTAATGGAATAAATGCTTGATGTTGTTGTTGTTGTAGTCAATTAAGGCCACTTAACCAATGCCCAACGCCCACTTTTAGGCCATAAAATTTTGATGTATACACCTTCGGCCTGATCACATTTCTTATCGCAAAACATTTTAGAAATGAAATAATCTGATTTTAGAACTTTGAATGAATGAATGAATAATGCTCAAATAAAGAAATGGGTACACTGATATATCACACTATTTGCTAAAGGAAACATGCTTATATTTTAATAAAAATGTTTACATAACTATTATGCACAACCTCATCTCGATATATTTGATTCTGTACTGTAACTTTCTTCAACAGGCTGAGCTTGACATAGCATTCTTTGCGCAAAAACTTGGTGATAGCAAAACCTATAAAAATTTCTTGGAGGCTTCAAATGCACGGCAGTTTGCAATGCGATCGATTTTCTGGAATGCTGAGATGAACCAGTGGCTTGACTATTGGATTAGATCCGATGATTGTGAGGTGCTTTATTGATCCTAGTTTTTCAGATCTAAGCATTATCATTTAGATGAATAACTGATAATAATTGTTATATTTATAATATTCAGGATGTTCATCAATTTGATGCTAGGAATCAAAATGATCGGATATTTGCATCAAACTTCATACCCATCTGGAATTGGGGGCTTACCTCAGGTTTGACATTCCATATGCTCTCTGTGGCTGTTAAATCATTTGATGAAATAACAATAATAATAATAATCATAAACATTTTTCTTTGATGCTTTCAATTTTGGAGTTCATTGAGTTTTTATCATTGTAATTTTCTATAATATTTTGCTGCATTGAAATGATCTTGCACTAGTCCTTTGGTAGGTGCATTTCCCCAGACAATGTTCTGAGATACATCCATAAGATGATCTTGAGTAGCAATTGAACACATTTGTCTCCATTCAAAAAACAAAAACAAAAAAAAGTTTTTATCTCTTCAAATACTGTGATTGCAATGACTTGTTATCGAAATTGATTTGTTCTAGGAATTTTTTATCTATAAATACTTGCTATTGATGCATGAAAGAATTAATTCAGGTTTAGGTGAAAATAGCGTTATTGTGGAAAGAATTTATGAGAGCTTCCTAAAATCCGGTCTGCTTCAACCTGCTGGAATTGCTACTTCATTAGTAAACAATGGGCAACAGTGGTAAGTTATCTTGGACCATCTGATTGTGAAGCAATCTTATTGAATCTAAAACCATTAACGTTTTGTTGAGCAGGGATTTCCCCAATGGATGGTCTCCTTTGCAACATATCATCATCCAAGGATTATCTAAATCTGGTTCAAAAGCTTCATATGGATTGGCTCAGGAGATTGCTGTAAGATGGATTAGAACAAATTATGCTGCTTACAACACCACTGGTGCAATGCATGAGAAATATGATGTTGATGGTTGTGGAAAGGTTGGCGGTGGCGGTGAATATAAACCTCAGGTAATATTGTAGTAATATATATTTAGCAACCTAAACATGAAGTTAATATCGAATAATTAGTAAGTAAGGAGGTAGATCAAATTACATGGAGAAAGTTGTGCGAAATAATTTTTAACATCTGATGCAACAGTAATTAAGCACCAATGTAGTATTAGGATTTATGAAGCTGACTCCAAATAATTAAAGATAAGATTAATGATGACAAAGAGGGGTAAAATTTTAATCTACTCTTTTTACCATCTCGTATTACATGAATGTATTTTGAACTCGATCTATTCAATGAATGGTGATGATCATTCTTCCACAATTTCAGCACTAAGTTTCAAATAGAAGATACTATGAACTTCGTCTTTCCTCTATTTACATTATTCACTGATATTGTCATACTCTGAATGTTGGCCATTAAACGAGAAGAATAATACTAAGTTAAGTGTTGCAGAGATGAGGATGCTCAGGTGGATGAGTGGCTTTGCCCTTAGAGATAGGATACAAAATGAACAAATACGTGAAAAGTTTGGAGTAGCGCCAGTGGAAGATAAGATTAGAGAGAGTTGTCTTAGATGGTTTGGTCAAATAGAACGGCGTCCTTCTAATGACCCGGTTAGGAAAGTAGAGGTATTAGATTTGACTTATGTTAAGAAAGGTTGAGGTAGACTTAAAAAGACTTGGTTCAAAAATATTAGAAGTGATCTTTCTTTATTAGATTTAAATGAGAATTTGACTTTTAATAGGACACAATGGAGAAAAAGGATTCATGTAGCCGACCCTATGTAGTGGGACAAAGGCTTGTTGTTGTTGTAGTATTGATATTGTCATACTCATATGTTGTTGACCAATTTGTTCTGATTCAAACTGTTTATTTTTCATGCTGCAGACTGGCTTTGGTTGGTCTAATGGTGTGCTGCTGGCTCTCTTAGAACAATTTGGCTGGCCCTCTGACAGGGATATTGAATGCAGTTCTTGAAATCACATAATAAGAGTCGGAAATCAAGAGTGTCATTAGCTACTTGTGTCGGTCCCTTACCAAATAATTCCATATTATCATCATCAAAGCTTGTTTATCTTCTTTTGGTTTATCATTTAAAAATTTATAATTTGTGTTTGGGAAGAGATACATTTTGTTGTTGTTGTTGTTGTGTTTGGGAAGAGATACATTTTGTGCTTCTTCAAATTTATGATTCATATTTTGATTGAACAAATGTGTTTTTTAATCAGATCCAAATATTATCCCTCTACATTTCTGTTCAATAATACTGGTGAGCATTGTATTGTAGTACAAAAACTATTTTGCGGCAACAACCCTTTGACATATTATTTTTCTTCCTTGAACTATTATTTTTTAATTGTTATCGATTAGCCCTTCCGATTTCCTAGTTAGGAGAGTAGATGTATTAGATTTAACCTATGTTAAGAAAGGTAGAGGTGGCCTAAAACGACTTGGTTAGAAAATATTAAAAATGACATTTCTTTATTAGATCTAAATGAGAATTCAAATCTTAACAAGACACAATGGAGAAAAAGGATTTATGTAGCCGACCCCACAGTGGGATAAAGGCTTGATGTTCTTATTATTGTTGTTGTATCGATTATCCTTCTTGTTATGAACATTCCCAAGTGTTTTGTTAACTTGTTGACTTATTATCATTTTTAATTTTACTTCCCCTTATTAAAACATTATTGGTGGAGTTCTTTCTAATCTCAAACCTTTGATTGGAATCTTCTCACCAATTTTGGCACTTATGCACGTGGTGCACACTTCAGGAAAAATATAATTTTCTGGCGTCGCCAGAAAGAATGATTAAAATCTATCGATAATTTATATTTTTGACGAATTTCCAACAGAGAGAGAGAGAGAGAGAGAGAGAGAGAGGTGATGATAGAAGAACTTTTCATGTTAGTGCATTGAGGTAATGTTGAGATCAGTTAGTCATAATTAGGCCTAATATTCAAGTCAAAAGCATGTTTATGAGAAATTTTGTATATGCTGTTGCATGTTAAAAAATTTGTGATATATTGAAATTTTATTGTCTTAATGTTATAAAAATTCACAAGCATATTCACATATGAAATAAATTCACAAGAGACACTATAGCTTTTAAGCCGAAAAACCTAAAGAAAAAAATCATGGAGCCTGACTTATTTAAAATAATATATATATTTTTTATAAGAAAAGATTATTGAAGTATGCTTTTCTCCCAAGTTGAAGATGACTAGATTATTATGGGTTTTCCTCCTTAGAATGTAGTGTAAATTGCACAGGTAGTAAAGGATGATGACAATTTTTAAAGAATGATTATCAATAGGTAGACATCAATATGGTTAATGAACCATTCAAATTGCAGACATATATTGAATGACATCAATTTGGTGATGATAGTTGGGTGCTAGCAGTTGAGTAATGTCAATTGGACAACAATGGTTAGGGGTGAGATTGGGTGATTGTTATTGGGCAATAATTGTTGGGTGACACAGATTGTTGGTGGTGATTGAAGAAATCGATAATATCAGAGTTAAGTGATCTTAGGCATATTGAATTCCTATCATTGAAAAACTTAATTTGGCAATAAACATTTAAGTACAATAAATAGAGTTACAATACTTTTAACTATGCTTCAAGTAATTCACTTCGCTAATTTGGACTTGGATCAAGATACTTTGTTGTATTTCGATTGTCTCAACAAAATAATAAGGAAATCAGAGTTTGTATGGCCCAAAATTTAATTTCAAAAAATTTTAATTCAACTACTACTTTGAGATTCATGTATGCTCATATTGATTTTTTGTGGCATAGCATTTCCCCCCTATTTTCAAACATAAAAAATTGTATCTGTGAGCTCCGAAAATTCCATTTTGCGGTTCCGGCCTCTTTGCACCATCGGTCTCTTTTTATTTTATTTTTAAGTGTTTGTGACGACGACAGAGAGTTTTAACGAGCTTAAGTTTCAGATGAATTTTCAGAAGACATATTAGGTTTTAAATAAGACACTACCCAGAGATTTTGCCCTCATTTTGTGAGGACTTTTTGATCTAAGTTCATGTTTCCTATAGGCACAAGCCCCTATAATTAATTACCCCTCCCGATAGCAGGAGAGAACTTTCGATTAAGGTTAGTCATTAAAGAGATTATATAGGTTGTAAATCCAGTGTATAATAGCAATAATCTTAGAGTTTGAATTTTTGATTCTGAATTTAAAGTTTGAGACTTAAAATTTGTCACCATAAACATAAAATAGGTAATGGGGGAAATGAAGACGAGCTCAATCAAGATCCCATGGTTCCATAATCCCTGACTGTCATGATCTCTGATCTACTCAGTCAAAGGAGGTAGTCGACGCAATCTGATAGAATGTTTCTTATTGGAAGCCATGTGTTGCTTCATCCAAGAATACCTTGTAGACCATGGTTGATGTTTATCTAACGGGATATATCTGAATCCACCTTAGATGACAAGGGCTTTATGCCTATCAAATATATCCTATGATCCATTGCTCAAGGGTTTGAAGCCTTTAAGGAACTTATGGGCTTTGGCCGTGATCGTAATATAATGGTACCATTTTGTAGAAAAACCAACTGATCAGAGGGCATGTGCTACGTCTCTACTGGCAAGACACTATTTGAGGATGAATCTCAGTGATACACCTGAAATGCTTTCTCTCTTTGTGAGCTGAGATTATGTGGAGAATCTTTAGTCACCACTAGCAGGCGTTTGAATTCATTGTGTGCTTCACTGAATATATCCTTAAAAGGTATTATTATTTGATTGGTATCAGATGTGAGGGTACTATGTTTTTTGCAATCATTCACAAATATCGCCATGTTTGCTGGTCCTCAATCATTCTTTCAAGATATGATATCCTTAATTGAATACAGGTGCTATATCTATTGTGCCTCTTCTACATTTTGTTCATGATTAATGTACTTCACACTCATCTTGCCTCCACAAATGAGCTATTGTGTTTCATGGAAGGTTTATGTTCACCTTCACTATTATGTATGTGATATCATTTTTTACGGAATACAGTACGTTCCCTAGTGCAGCCACCTTTTTAAGAGGCATATAAAGGGTGGTGAGTTCTTCAATCTTATACACCTAGCGTAGTTTAAAGCTACATGCAGGAATACGAGAGGCAATGATGCTCTGTTATTCCAATAATTCGTGAGCATCTTGAGTGAAACTGCTTTCAAATGGTATGCCGAGCTGACAAATGATTCACTAAAGACCTTCGTGGAGTTAGAGGGCTTATTCATGAAAAAATTTGCCAGTATAACTAAGAAGACTACGATCGTTGATCTTGCCCTAGATAAAAGGAGAAAAGATGAGTTAGTGACAAGATATATAACACATGGCGCAATCTCATCATGAACTGCGAGCATCAACTAGAAGAAGAATATGTAGTTCAAATGTTGATGGGAAACATTGATGATAAAATGTAACCCTTTCTATGCATGGATTCAATCACCACCTTCCAAGATCTGCTGGGTAGGGTGGCAAAGTTTGAAAAGTTAAACTTATCAATATATGAAAGCCTATCTGATAGACCCAAAAAGGCTAAAACACCTGATGCCATGAAGAGTGAAGCTTACTCCACATTCCTGCCCAGACCTGATAAAGATAAACGGACAGTGTATAACATAGATAAAGGGAAATAATTGATACATTACGATGATAAGCCAAAACTGGCTTATAACCCTAATCCTCAGCCAAAGCTAGTGCTTGGAGGAAATGATAAACCTCAAACATTTTCTAGTGGAGTAGAGCACCAGAGGCAAATAATGGTAACTAGTGATAGAACATTCCCCTCCCTCAAGGAGAAGATGAATTAAGAATATTAATTTAAGAGGGATAATGTCGCTAAGCTATTCCGAAAAGCACTCAAGATCGGTCTGGAATTGCCAAAATGCAAAAGATCCGAAGAGTCCAAACATACTAGCGATCCAAACTAATGCCCATATCACCAGGTAATTAGCCATCCAATTGAAGATTGCTATGTCTTCAAAGATTGGTTGGAGAATTAGTACAAAATGGGAGAATTAACATTATCAGATAACGTGTTAGTTCGTCCTAGAAAGGAATCTGCTCGGTATCACGTCCTCTTCCGTACTCCCACCTAAAAAAACAATAACAAAAGAACCTGCTCAAGAAGAACAATGAGAAATTGTAGTCTCCAAAAAGACAACCAAAATGTTGAAACAGCTAGAAGGAGATCCTCGTCTCAAGTGGAAGTTTCCTATTGAGCCAGTATTGAATTTAAAGTGGTTGCCAGTGTCACCTGCATCCACCTCCAGACAGAACTTGGCCAAGCAAGCTCATTCAAGTCTGGCAAAGCAAAATCAAAATCTTCCAAGAAAAAAACCAAATTGAAGAAGCTTGTGGAGAAGAAAACAGCAACTCAAAAGGTTATTGACAGTTTGGGTGAATATTACCAGATCGCCAGGAGGCCTATTATGCTTGGTGATTTCATGAAAGAGCTCAAAATAGATGAAAAGGAGGAAGAAGCTGAGAATGAATCTCTTCCTACAGAGACATGCTAAGTCATCTTTACGACATCAAAGATATCAGATAGGGAGAAATACGCTGAAGTAGCGGCCCCTAGTTTCTGTCTAATTGGTGTCTCATGAAATACAGTTCAGAAGAGGATCTATTATTTTCCAAGTGATAAGATTTAGATCTACAGCATAACATCCGTCAATAGAGTAGGTGAAATTAGGGGGATGATTATGAGTTTACAAGTGAATCTCCAGATGAAAACAATGGCTTAATCCAAGGAAATATTTCATTAATAATCTAAATTAGTGAGGTGGGCCACTGTTGAAGTTGAGAAGTGACTATTACCTACCCACTCTATCAAAGAAAGGGGGTTCATAATAAAAGAATAAGGGGAAAATATACTTATCAATGAAGATATTATCCTACGAGCACTAAGAAGAAAGAGGCTTCATCTAGGGCATAGATTATAAATTCTCATCCACATGGAGGAAGATCCCAGCATCAACTTAAACATATAAGACTCCCTTGCGTAATATCTAAGACCTTGGGAGACTTCGATCAAGCTTCTCAAGGACCCAAAGATACTGAGGTGTTATTTTGCCTAAACGCAACTTGACTGAGATCTTGCAAGCTCAGAATGGCAATAATACTTTTGTTGAGGATGATCTAATACTCTGGAATGGAAGATTACAACTGCCGCGTGTATGTTACGGTGGATGAGGCCA